CTGTCCACTGTGCAGACAGTCTCACTCTGAACATCAACAAAGGGATTTGGAAGTTTGCTCTTACTCCGGTTTTTAATCTTTACGTTCAAGCACAAGATCCAGGGTAACTGAAATGGACCATTTATAAAGTTGACTTATATCTGTTTATGTATGTCCAGAAAATGGTCATGTCAACTTAAAGCAAGAACCATCATTAGGCTTGCATCGACGTGTCTGGGCAGAAGCAAACACTGATTGGCTCATAACATTTGATGGATGGGTCAAAAAGCTGATCTATGACAGGGTTACACACACATGGAGATCCCACCCCCTGGCCTCTTCCATACACAGTATCACAGATAGAAAAACTAATTCAGGGTTGACACTTCAATTACATTTTCTTTAGTATCTCCATCACATTTTTATTTTCAAAGCACTACAGATGATACAAAAGTGTATTTAGCATCAGCTTCAAATCAGCTTAGTTTACAAAATGGCAATTTACACAGCATTTTTTTGGATTATAGGTCTGTTATGTAATTTGTCTAACTGACATGGCCATTTATTTACAGGAACAGAATAACACGCCTCTCTGTTGGATTGAAAGGGTGTGGTCACTTTAAGATTCACAAACTGCAGTGTTTGGAGGAGATTGCTTTGTTTAAGGGGAGAAATTACAGCTAGTAAGACCATGACCCTCCTTTAGCCCTAGTGTCTATCTAGGCCGTCTGGTTCTTGGACAAAATCGTTCCCTAGAGGCACCATAAAGCAGACAACAGCCAACTCTTACAGCTTGATTTTCAGCTGGTTCAATCCACATGTTCTCTTTCCTGTCCTCCTCATCTCTCACTAGAGACATGCCTCAACGATATTTCTTCTACTTTCTCCCTTTCCTTAAGAAGGGGAATGAAATGGACACCTCCCTCCTGCTCTTATAACCTTATTACCCATCTTTTTGGGCCTCCATTGAAGGCAGGTCAGAGGAAGTGGTAGGGACAGTGAATGGCTCTCCTATCACCAAGGGCAAAACATGTCTGGACAGGGGAAACTGGAGTGCAGTTGAGTCGAAGGATCCTTTTTTTAACCTCCTTTTTTCTTTTTCGTTGCATTTTTCACTACTTTGCTTTATACTTATGTTCATTCCTCTTTCCCTACCCCTTTTCCAACCAGAACTCACTGCCAGGAGACAGACATCTATTCCAGACGTAGGCTGGTGAGACAAAGCTGTCTCTGTTGAGTCCCCTCTGTATTTCACATCTGAGTTTCAACCTGGAACATCTCCCTCTTTTCTCTAAAACTATTATTACATGCCTTGATTCTCTCTCTGTCCTCATTTCTCTTTCAACGTCTCTTGCCACCCCTCCCAGCCTTGACTGTATAAATAGTGGACTGTGGAATGTAACTTTTGGAGAGTTTAGTTCATTTTTAGCACTTTTAATTACATGCTAAAGAAGGTATCTGAACATAACAACAGAGAAGTGCAGTTGAGAAATGTTTTGGTGTTTTTTTTTCAATGTAGTTTCAATATGTTATGCTGTTGTTAGAGGAATAGACAGAGATAAGCAGTCGGTGCAGAAAGAATGTGTGTGTGGCCGGACAAAGGCAGGTCGGGAACGATAATACTGGTCCGAGAGAGCTCAGCTTATCCCAACTGGCAGTATGGACTTCCTGCCTTAACCCAAACTAAAATACACTTACACCCAGGTCATTGACAGAAAGGTCATGCTACTGTCATTACTGTGATGCTGCTGTCAGCTCACTGTGTGATTGATTGGTCAATCTCACGGCCTCAAATATTCTTGAGCAAGGTGCCTTTCTACGCCAGTAACGATTTTTGGACGTTTTTTAGTCAATGACATCAGCTTTATTCTCACACTTCATTAGGTGACGATAATATGTTCTATGCATGTTCCTTACTACATTAGTACCATCATTTAACCGCTTATATCGGTGTTATGATGATAGTACATTTTCCAGACCGTTAATTCCAAGTATATACAGAGTACTAGTTGTGTTCAGTAATTTAGTCATGCTAGTGACACGTCTCAATTATTGGCAGTGACATTTGGTCCATCCAACCCTTGGTTTTGATGATCCCTTGGCTTCTTCTTGAGCGCTACCTTTAGGTTCATATCAGTGCCTTTAAGTTAATAGTTTCGTCAAATGTTGTGTAAATTACCTCAATTTCTCACTCTCTTCATTTTGTATATTCTCCAATACTTTGACAACATATTGCTAGCCCTACTTGTGAGGCATCTTAGGCTCCTTGTGTTTGCTGTTTGTCTTCAGATTGTTTGAACTTGTTTTGAGTAGTTGCTATGTTTTATATGCACACAGTTTTCCAGATACTGCCTTATTTCCTGCAATATTCATCATCCATACATAACAAGGTCTGGTAAGTCTCTGTAATCACGGGTTCATGAATAAACAGATCTCTTTCACATCTCTCTGTTCTCCACAGATTATATAGAATTAAGTTTGATGCACAGACAAATGCTGGATCCAAAACACAGCAGTCTTTTTGCCCTATAACTCAATCCAGAAGTGGTTTGCATAACAATCAATTTACATTTTGATCATCAATTTTGTTTTACTTACTTTTTATAGCAGTATATGCCTGCAAAGTAGTGTGTGCATACCAACATAGCCAGCAAATGAAGCTAACAGTTGAGCTAGAACAGTGGAGATTGAAGAGAAAAGGAACAGATGAGGGAGGATTGGTTAAACATTCCCCCGAAGGCTCAGAGGGGTCTGGCTGTTCATTATTTTGTTCTTCTTACTGCAAATGTACAGACACTCTGCAACTCCCTCACAGACATACAGAGGGCGGCTGTTTTCGGTTGTATCACCATGGAAACGTTGAAATATTTCAGTGTTTTAGTGAACTAAACTATGACTCATTTGAACCCCTCCCAACACACCAGTACACGCACACAGTATGGATTCCCCCAGTTGAAAAAAAAAACCTCACCACATGGAGAAACATCATGAATCATCCATTACTGAAAACAGGTTTTTTCAGGGGAAAAGCAAATAAACTTTTGATATTTTTTACCAAGTGAATCTGCTTCACATTCAACACAATATTTGATATATAAGTTGATCTACTCCACATGTATGAATCCACTCTTGACTGAAGAGGATCCATATGATTCTCTGTAATGTTTACTCATGAGATATAGCACGAGGCTGCCGGTATGTGATCTAGTTCAGGAATGAAGCCATTAAAGTTGCAGTGTACAGAAGAACAGTGACAGTGATATCTTCAGGTCGTGTGCCAGAATTAGCCCAGGAATCTCAACGGACAGGTAATTTTGCTGCCTCATCACAGGAACTAAATGAAGACCCATAGGTCACTTATAATGGAAGCAAACCTTGTGAATCTGTTTTTGTCACACATTATATAACAGATGATATACACGTTTAGTTTTCTTGATAGACATGTTAATTGTCTAGAAAAACTTTTTTTCTTTTAGCTTTGAAAACTAAAACCAAGGATATGATAAAGCCGTGTTACTGTTTTTGTGTGGATATGTACTAATTAAAGGTGGGGTAGGTAAGTTTGAGAAACCGGCTCGAGATACACTTTTTGTTATATTCCATGGAATGCTCTTAACATCCCGATAGCAATGAATATCTTAAGTGCTTTGACAAAAATCCATAAAAAATTCATCTGTGGAAGCCGTAGTACTTTAAAAAGCACGACCAATCATTTTAGCCGGCCGGCTAAAATAACTGGATGGCCTACCTGCCTGTCAGCCTTCCATGGCACAAACTTATCTCGTGCCCTCATTGGTCACGTGCGCGTTCGTGTGTGTTGGAGGAGGGGCTCTGTAAGGAAGTGGCAGATTTTTCCGGTTGTGTATTTCAAATTCCAGCGCTCGGTTTTCTCCAAAATCACCTACCCCACCTTTAATGTAATTTGTCTGCTGGAAATCATCTCTAACAAATGTTGCTACTTTATTTAAGCGTCTCTGGACAAGTTTCCTCTGTGATGTTCGTTGGTGTTTTTACAGAGACGAGAAGTGGGGATAGGGGTTTTGTAAGTTCTGCAAGAGGTTACCGGAGATCATCCAGTGCTCTTTTAATACCCAAGTGATATCTATTAATGCAAGTGAACATTACTATTGTGAGGCAGGATATGTTATAGCTGCTTGACAATAGCATTTGGGGGTTGGGGAGCCCAGGAAATAGCTGAAAAATAATGTAGCTAGGTACTGCATAAAGTTGACACAAAATAACTGTTTGGATAAAACCAGCTTGAAATAACGCTGGAGTGGCCAACCATGTAACCGGCAATCCATCATTTTACAAGCCCACCATGAGGAGGAACAAACTGTAATCGCTGTTCAATCCCTTTTAGTTAAACCATTTTAGAAACACTCCCACACCGCCCAACAACACAGCGCTATTCTCGAAAATTCCTGGTTTGGTGTAAATGCAGCTTAAGATGAACTCCTTTAACTCCTGCTTCCCCTTTTTTACCCCAGTGACTCTCCTCCACATTCAAACCAGATGATCCAGTCCTGCGACACACATGTGTACTCCACCCACTTCTGACAAGTGTCCCCCCACCCACACACACACCCCCACCCACACACATACAGTGATGTCAGCTTGTTTTGTCTTCACCACAGAGCAATTTGAAACTCACTTTAAAGTTCAGTTACAGATGTTGTATGTTGAGATCGACAATTAGACATCACTTAAAGGTAAGTGGCCCCTTGTGACCCGCCTCACCTGTCTGTCTGCTGTCTGTCTGTCTGTCATGTTTAAAAGGGGGGGGTTGGGTTTCCACCTGGCTGCACAGTGACAGGAAAGAGCCACTCCCTCTTATCTGCATAAAGAATGCTGAACCTTTTCACCTTTGCCAGGCGAGCTTCCAACACTGGACTGCTCACTAGTTTTCCAGGAAACTTTGTCATGAGATTTGCTTTTTACTATTTTTCTAACTTCAAGAGAAAAAGCAAAGTCACCTGCTCTCTTCACAAAGGAGGTAATCTATCTGGAGATATACTGGCAAAAGGTGTATTTTTCTTTCCTATCCACTATGATGATTCGTCACCCAGGGGTTCCCTTCCTGAGGGAGACTGGGATGACTGCACCTGATACTCGGAAAGGAGACTAGCAAAAAAGACAAACGGAAAAGCCAACAGCAGGACAAGTAACTCTGAATGACCTCTGTAAAGGACTCAATGCTAAAACTAAAATACTGTTTAAGAAGAAGCACCTAATACTGGAATGGTATGGCTAAATCCTAACAACACTGTGAGAGGTGGGAGGAGAGGCTGGCTCTCACACAGAGGGAGGGACTGAGAGAGCATGGAGCTTCATTCACTGCTAAACACACACACACACCACATGCTCGGAAAAGCTGTTCTCAGGCTGAGAGAAAAGAGGGGAACGAAGGAGAGGACTTCTCGATCACTGAGTAAGTTCGTTGTATACCGTAATATACTGTCTGACAGTTTTACAGCAAAACTCTTTCATTGCTTTCTAACGTGACTCAGAGCAGATGAAGTGCATGTACTCATCTACATTCTTTAAATTAGTCTGAAAGAAGTAAAACATAGGAATTCTGTGTGCAGGGATTTTTCCACTGCTAGTTTTATTGAATTGAACTTCTTTCTCGTCTCCAACTCACCCATACACACTATTCTGCTGATGTGAACCACATGTCACACACACACACACACACACACACACACACACACACACACACACACACACCACACACACACACACACACACACACACACACACACACACACACACATACACAATAACACACACTAGACTCTGCAGAGGTCCAGCTTTCCTCCCTGGGGACATACACAGAAATGAGAGAATAGAAAAGGGGGAGTGAAGCCGAATGTGAGGGGAACATTAGAAGGACAATGTGGGAATGCTCTTGATACATTGTTAACATGTTGGCTGGTATCTTCTGAATGTTCCCTTTTTATTCTGTAACAACCCTATGTGAGTTTGAATTATTCCACTTAATCTTTTCTAATGAATCTGCTCTTTTTTCATCTTATTCTTGCTTTCTCATCTCAATCTGTCCTCCCTCTGGGTTTCATTTTTAACCTATTTTGGTGTCTTTCCATCTCGCCCTCTCTCTCTCATCCTGCTGATCTCATTGTTGTCCCAGGTGGTGACACACAGGAAAAACAGAGACACTGAGTGAGGCCAAAGAGGGACAGAGGGGATCATCAAACCAATGAGAGCTGGGAGGTTTCAGATCCTGTGACTTGTTCCCAAAGAAGACACATTGATCCTGGTGGAGGTACCGAGACTTAGCTCCAGGACCGACCTCCAAGATGTCCCGGAGGAGGTCTACAGGGGACTTGGTGCCCAGGGACGTCACTCAGATCTTAGCCCGGGAGGCGAAGGTTCAGCGTGGGCAGAAGAAGCCGGGTAGCTCCCTGGGACAGGCCTTTGGTTGGTTAAAAGGGAGCCGAAAGAAGAAGGGCCTCGGTAATGGGCTGAACCGAACTGGAATTGGCGTGACGGATGCCAAGCAAGGACTTCAGAATCAAGACCCTGCAAAAGGTGAGTTGGTCAAGACTTAATACTTTTTATAGTTTTGGGTGCTCAGCGGATGCTTTTATCCAGTGAGTACATAAGACACAACAAATAAATGTAGGTCATGGACCACAGAACCCCAACCCCATGCAAGTAAGACTTTTGCAAGTTTTCAATATTTTTTGACCATCAAACTTGAGTTGGAGAAAAATGTCACTATGGGAGGATCAGTTTTTTTCATATTACACAATTATATCTTTCAGCTCATTGTTTAATTTTATGGTCAGCAACTTCACTGTTTCAGGTCATCCAAAAAAAAACTTAAAATTAACGTTTACCCAATATCTGCTGGAAGTCCAAATAAAACAAGTGTTAGCTAATATGTCTCCCATAACAACTTATGGGTAATGTAATATTATACTGTATGTCAGTGTTGTGTTTACAGCTTTTGTGCTGCCCCCAAGTGGCCAAAAAAATGGATGAAGGTTTAATATAAAAAACACTTATGACGTGAGCTTAACTTTACAAATATTTGACCTTTCCATCCAGGAAGGTATTTTGTTTATTAGTAAAATTGCGAACAGTTTTTTCTTAAATCCATCATCTACAGAAAATCTGCCTGATATCAATGACATCCTTTTCAGTCTCTTATAAGAGTTGCATTAAAGTCTGTGTCAGGATGGATATTCCTTCATAAGGTTCAGTTTAGATGAGAGGTGAGGTCAGTTTGCTTGTTTGGAAACTCCACTGTATAATTCTGTCTTGTTTGTCACTCATGACAAAGACTGCATTGTCATGATGTTTCAGATACATATGTTGACTTTTGGATTAAGATGGAAACAGGGTTATCATCAGGACATCTGTCTGGACATGTTTAAAATGGCCAAAGTGACACACACGTAGACTGACACAGGGGTTTAATCCCCCTTTCTGTTTACTGATGCGTTTGCTTGGTCGGCAGCACAGAGCTTACCCACGGTCCCCATTTCCTGTTTTTGTTCCACCCCAAAAGCCATCCCTTTCTCCTGTGTCATTGTGTGTGTGTGTGTGTGTGTGTGTGTGTGTGTGTGTGTGTGTGTGTGTGTGTGTGTGTGTGTGTGTGTGTGTGTGTGTGTGTGTGTGTGTGTGTGTGTGTGTGTGTGTGTGTGTGTGTGTGTGTGTGTGTGTGTGTGTGTATCCAACAACTCTTGGAAATCCAGATTATGTCTCTGGGCTTTTGTGGTTTTTGTGCTCGTTCCGCCTAAAAACATCTTCCATGATCCCTTATTATGCCTTACATCGTGTTTTTGTTTTCTTCTTTGGGAACTATGAACAGTGGATGGGTAACAGACAGTGACTCCATTTGAAACCAAAGATTAACTAGTAGTAGGGCTAATAATTCCCCAGCAGAGGATGTGATCAAAGGCTCATAGTAAAAACGTGTGGGAAATGTATTTTGGGCATTTTCCCAGATAATTATGAACACCAAGCCAGGCACTGCAGATTCAAGTGACCTTCAATTGTTTTCTTTTAATAACTCTCACTATTTTGTTTTAGTTTGGCTGTTGACTGGTGGTGATTGACCTTATGTATCTGCAGATGTGATTACCATTGGTTAAAAGTTGTATTTTTATCAGAAATCAGTGAAACCAGAACATAAAGAAGTGGAAGGTGTTTTGTGTTCATGCAGCCATCGTTGACGTTTTCATACACTGTATCTAGTGACAGAACAATCTGTTCCTTATTTCACCAACATGAACAGCTGACGCTCTTGTCTCACCCGTAAGTGTCAACAAATTGTTAGTTTTGTATTGTCTTGCTTTTTCCTTTGACACTTTGTCTGTTACAGATTACAGATAGAGTGATAGGAAGCCTGTTTTCCCACCAGTAAATAATTGGTTCATTGCACCATTAATTTTTCTCTTGCTTCGCTTCATTCTCCCTGAACTCGCTGGGTGACTTTAAAAACCTTACGAGACAAAGCAGAAATGTGTTGAAAGACAACTGACACTTGCTGTACCGACACATGATGTACAGTATATGTACTTAAACACACATAGGCCCTTTATCTGACTACTTAGTCCTTGACATGAAGGGTTCCAATCAAATGGTTTACAAAGCAAAAATCACAATCAAGTTTCTACGTGACACAATCTGAACAAGCAGTGACTTGTCCTATTGTGATACTGGGAAATGTCGTAATGTAAAAAGTTTCAGTTCCCTCTTGATTCTTTGAACAAAATCTCTGAACCAGTGGCTGCATTAGAAACAGGTTGCATCATCTAAATCAGTGGTTCTCAACTGGTCAGGCCTCGGGACCCACTTTTTACTTGGTCAATACATCGTGACCCAACATTTGAAGCACTCAAATCTATTCAACAAAAAATCGTGCTGTAATATATATATACGCTTTTGAGCATACAATATTAATAAAAGTGAAGTACAGTGCATATATCCCTTATATCCCTTCACAGAACTAAAGTATGCTTTTAAAAAAGGTTTAATGAGATGATGGAATCAAAGCTGAACTATATAAAAAGGCACACATGCTGAAACCCAACCCCAACAGGGGGGTCTGGGGGGATTCTCCCCAGGAGATTTTAGAAATACTAACATAAACTACGCATTCTGGTACACTCTGAGAAGAAAATCGGGCCTTCAAAATAAAAGTTTGACTTTTTCCCAAAAAAAAAAAAAAAAAAATCCAATTTTTTTTTCCAACTTTTTTTTCTTCACTCACACATCCGCGACCCACTCGAAACGGGTCCGCGACCCACTTTTGGATCGCGACCCACCAGTTGAGAACCACTGATCTAAATGATGTTGAAATAAGCCAGTCGCCCTAAACACAGGCTTGGCCCCTCCAAAGGGTCACAAGATAAGTCTGATTGGTCAGCAGAAGATTGCTTTGTCCCCATTTTCTATAAATAAATGTATTTTCGAAGTATAAAGGGGAAATTGTGTATGAAATTGATTTGCTGAAAACTCAAAGTTGTCACTATGGGCCCTAGTTGCTTTTCTTTGGATGGGGTCATGAGCAAAAAAGGGTGGGAACCACTGATGTAAGCTACACCTGAAACCATCACTTATTTGCTAATCAGTACTGTACTAATTAAATGCATCCAATTTCTGAATTCTGACTGTTTCTGTTTCTTCACATTGTAGTACCCCTTTTTATATTCTGGAGCAAAAAAATAGACAATG